AGCGGCCGGTATGTATTGTTCCCATCCTTCACCCCGTCGGGAAGATAGGCATGTTTTGCTATGTTCCAGGTACGGTGATGCGCCATTACGCATGGCACATCAGGCAGGGGGGTGTTATTGAGCAGGTATGTCTGTGCTTCTGGTGCCGGGCGGACCCAGTGGGGCGCAGACTACATCATGCTTCGCCCTTAACCCAATAGCGATAGCCTTAGAGGGCGAAGCCATATACGAAATAGAACTGAGGTTACCTACTGTAACCCCAGCTTCTATGAGTAAATGGCGCAGCCCTCTAAGTGTGGGGCCCCACTGGCTCTACGAATAGCTGAAGAAAAGTTATGTTGTATGGGAGCAGATTGCCGGGCCACCTTCCTATTTATACCGGAAGGAGGCCCGAGGGTGGGGGCCCACCTTGCGGGTGGGCGTGGACTACAAGTGTTTCAGTGCTGCGCGGGTGCGCAGGGGGATTACCCAATAGCGATAGCCTTAGAGGGCTACGCCTTTTACTCGTAGAAGCTGGGGTTACAGTAGGTAACCTCAGTTCTCAGCAATAGAACATTATCACAAGTTACAAGGGTGTTTTTATGAGTGCATTAAGTGTTTATGTTAGAGTGACACACTTTTAGATCAATATGTACCAAAAATGTATGGTCAAATTATCTTTGTTTTCATTGCAAGTTTTAACATGCTTCTGGTTACTACACATCCAAACACTACAACATCTAAAACAATACCAACATCTGTAGTTACCAGTAGTTTTTTTAATATAAGGAGTGTATTTTCACTAATGCATCTTTACTTGCACGGTTTCACGACAACAGCTGCAACAACATTTATGACATGTAAGCGCTTCAAAAAAATCATGACATTCAATTTCCTTGTTTTCTCTAGACAGTTGTTATTTAATTAAAGTTGGGTGAAACATGTGTATGTTCAAATGTAATTATTATTTAAGATACAACAACACTTGTTACAACAAGTGTGAAAACAACCTTCACCGTGGCAACACCAGCAATTGTAACAGGTCAATGTTTTTGTCTTTTTTGTGGTGCTAAATTCGTTTTTTTATTTGACAGCAATAATACATAATGAGAAATATTACAGCATGTATTATTATCATTATTAAGCTGTTATTAAAACAATTCAGTTAGTCTTTAAGTTTCAGTGATGTTAAATGATTGTCCAGTATTTATGTATTCAACATTTTGTATTGGCAAAAACCTTCTGGGAAACCTATTGTTTGAAACTATTAAGTCATCTCTCTTAATAGGAGAGCTCAATGTACAAGTTGTATTTATCACTTTTCAGATCCAAAAAAAGTGTTAAAGTTTTTAACAAGTTTAATCAGAATATTTGGAATCCTTAGTCATCAGAATCTAATTAAATTGAATTGATTAATTGACCCAATTTCTATTGACAAAACACATCTAACACTGCAACACCTAACCTAATCCAGGAATATTTCTTCTTGCTTATAACAATGTAGTCACATCAAGGTATATTGTATTTGAGATAAACATACTTTCGGTGCAGTTTAAATGTCTTAAAGCAAGTGATGAAAGCTATAATAACTCATACTGTGTCAACAGTAAGACACTTTTATAAAGTAGTCTTTAAACGCCAACATCTCTTTCAACAATCTTCAATACCTGTATTTAGCAATAAGCGTTTTGATAACTCATCCCTGGTTGTTATTTGTAGAACATTTTCTGTAATCCACTTATACGTGAGGTATTTCCCTCTACAGATGATCATACTTTATTACAGTTAAAAATAACAAAGCAACCAAAAAAAGAAAGCTAAACTAAATATATTTACAATACTCATAACTCAACCAACAACTATTGTTACCACCAGGTTTTTAAGAGATACGTGATGGGGAAATGGCTCAGTAATTACATTGGTAAAGGGAGTAATGGACATATGTTTTATACACATGTTTTTCCATTATTACCCTTTGTTAACAAGAATGAGTTCAATTTATAATTTCATATATTCTGCTACAACAGCTCCAACACTGACCACAATTGCGACAAGTAAGCGCTGAACAATAATTAAAACTCTTACATATTATAATTATGAGTGATTGTTACAATTATTGTTGAAAGGGGTTGTTAATGTTCTTGCCAAACCTTGCAATTCAAATTTAAAGATACTTGAACTAAATGTACTTGTGTTTTCAGCTTCTAGAAGGAGTACTAGTGTGACGTCAGACGTTACCTCCACCCCAGCTCCAACTACAGCACTCACAACTGCTGCTACTACCAAGGCTACACCTGCAGTAAAACAGACCACTGCTCCTGTGAAACGTATTTTTTATTGACAAAAATGTAGTAATGAGGCTCTATGTAGCTCATTGCTTTATAACTTCTGCATTACCTTTTTTTAGTAAATACATTTTGATTTGTGTCTTTTCTCCTTGGTCACCAAGACTTGAAAGAAACTATTTTTTTTGTTCTTGTCTTGTAAACTACTTTTCACTTTGGGTTTTGAATATATTTCTTAGTGATAACATGTATGTGACATCCCTGCAGCCTACATATGCTGATAGCTATGCTTGTCTTAAAACAAATACAAATGATATTACTTTATTATGCAGCACAGGGTTCATTTTTTAAAAGCATCTATACAAAGAAAGCACAGGCGAGCCAAACGTGAAAAAAGGGCTTTGACCTCAGGGTGTAAATGGACGTATGTCATTCATTAAAAAAATTATTGATGAATTATAAATTGCAGTTCTGCTTGAATATAGGTCAGACTATTTAATTAATACCTTCCACATGACATCTCAACACTGTTGCTGAAAAGGATATTTGCATTTTATAGAGATATGGGTTTTATACCCTGGATCAAATGTAACATTTATGATATTGGGCTATATAAATAAACATTGATTGATTGATTGATTGATTGATTGATCTGCAAGTCATGCAAACCAAATTAAACAATTATTCACAATGTTCTCCTCTCTTCTAATATCTAGCTAGTATAGTCTTTAAATCACAACAAACTGAATTGTTTGATCTTGTTTTTATTCTCTTTTCAAATAAACAGGGTTCAATTTGGAAATGACAGTGCAATTAAACAAGACGTTCACAGACACATTGAATGATCCACAAAGTGCTGCATACAACGATCTTAAAAACACCATGAATGAAGTGGTAAGTGCATTGATAAATACCATATCAAATTGTAACTTGTATTTTCAGTTTCATTGGTAATGTTATGAACCGTATCTCTCCCACAGTTAATCAACAAGTATGAAGGAATCACAGGGTTTATTGGTGTTTCTGTGACAGGATTCAGGTATGGTAATTCTGGCATTTAAGATATATGGAGGCAGGAAATCTGTACACATTTGACACCACCATTTTGTTTTGTGTTTGTTCTTACAGAGAAGGAAGCATATTTACAGATTTTGTTGTTGAGACTACAGAGGTTAAAACAGCAGAATTGGCTAAAGCAAATAAAGAATTTTCAGAAGCAGTAAACTCTAATATTGCCCCTGTCATTGGCTCTGTCACTGCATTGTACAACATTAAGTCCAACATAGCTAGTAGGTCATTACATTTTGTTTAACTTGTATGAATACCAAACTGATGTGTTTTTCTTTCTCCAAAGGTGAAGATGAATTAGGGTTTACCGCCCCAATTTATACTGGAAATAGCATGACACTGGTGTGCAAACCCAGAAACATTAATGTGGGACAAATAAGTAGTGTCGAGTGGACATTACGTGGAAGGGTAATTAAGCAGCTTGGAAGGAGAACAATAATTTTAAATCCTATTACAGGGTCTGTCCTAAAAATAAAGAAAGCCATTCTTCTGGATATTGGTAAGAAAAAGCTGGTAAAAATAAGCAAAATAACACTTCCATTTTAATTGATGCTAATAGACAAATTAATTTGCTGCTTGGACCATCATATCTGTGCAAAAAAGGACAACATCTCAATATTGGACTGAAAAAAAAACCCACATAGGCTACTGTCATTGTATCAGAATGGAAATATACAGCTATAGTCAAATACTGGAATTTTCACAATTTAATATACTAATGGTATCATTATTTTAAAAATGTTTACAGCAAACCAATTTAATCATTGTTTTTATGATCTTAATTACAGGACTTTACCAATGCACTCTGATGGGCGACGTATTGCAGTTCATAAAAAAAATGGACGTGACTGGAATTTATATCCAACAAGCTCCCATCATAGAATCAAAGCGTCAAATAAACGTTAGATGTCTGGGGACAGAGGGACAAACAGAATCACTTGAGTGTTGTGTGCAGTCCCCTTTTAAGGTGAATTGGTTTAAAGACTCACCTAATCCTTTTGCTGGTGTTACTGAAAATGGAAATCAATTCTGTCGCACATATAAACGACCGCTAGGAGAATGGGGTGGATCAACGTCACCAGAATTGACTTGTAAGGTCGATAATCTTGAATATAGACGGGTAACAACATTGAACATTTTCGTAGAATGTAAGTGCAATGTTTAAAAGTGACTATTCTTTTTCTTTGCAGTCTTTTTCCCCAATATTTTGTGTAATACTAATTGATTCTTATTTATCTCCTAAGCTTTTACATGTAAAGACGCTGATTATGGGGATGGACGACAAGGCGACAAATCTATTAAAAAATGTCCTACGGGTCAAGAGGGTGATAAGAGTGCGGAGTGTGATGATGGAGAGTGGAGATTGTTAGAGGACTCTTGCGTTATCAAAGTAATCAAGGAGTTGCTTGTTTCTTCAGAGGTAAGTGATCAGCTGGGGATAACATTTTATCCCCATTTTAAATCTATAAAACACACAGTATGCCATAAAGTTATTTCAAAAAACGGTCCTATGTTCACTAGTTCTACGTAACCAGTCATTCCACGTTGTGCAAAAATGGTATGTAGGAACTATTTTCTTTCTACCTAACTACACCTTTCAACTCGGAGACACCATCTGTTCAACAAAACATGAAGAAAATCTAAACGTTGATATAAATCAACTCAAAAGCAGAAATCATTACCTGTTGCTCAAGATAATCCACTGACCTTGTGAGAAGTTTCATTTAGTATGTATTTTATTTCAACTGAAGTACGTTCGCCAATTCCAAGTGAGAAAAAATGTTCCAAGCTAATTTGTTATAATATTTTGTATTGTTGTAAAAAAACCACGTTTTCGACCAACATCAGCACATTACATCACGGCATCTACTGTCCAGTAACTTCTTATAACTAACTGACCACTGTTTTTAGATAAAGTGTGGCTCTGCAGCAACACTTCTTTAATTTTTAAAGGAACCCTATTATGCTTTTTGAGGGTTTCCCTTTCCTTTAAAGTGTTATCTAGTTTTGGTGCATGTACATAGTCTGCAAAGGCTAACATTCCTAAAGTTCTCTTCATTGTCCTTCCAATATACTAAAGTAATCATAATATGTTCAACAATAATGTTCATATTAATATGTATATATTCAACAAACAAATATTCATGTGTCCGAAAGGGAGCAGGAGGAAGCAAATGTGTATTAATTCTCACCCCTTACTTACTGCTGATTAATGATTATCCTTTACATCTTTTCTGCAAGTTATTCCAACTTACATAACATGACATAGTGGAGACACTACGTACTAACATGAAGCTGAAAATGTGCATTATAGGGCCCCTTTAACAGATCCTTTTTTTTGACAGATTCTAGGAGCAAACCCCTAGATTCATGTAGAAGCGCTTACTGTGGCTTACATTTTAAACTAGAGAATACAATTCCTGAAGAAATTGCTAGTGGGAATGCTTTATGCTGAAATATAATGTGTAAGAAGAAAGTGAATAATCAGGAATATTTGGATGACTGAATGGTTTCCATATAAATGAATATTAAGTTAAAAAGTAGAATGAAACTCCAAATGTATAAATAATATTAAAGATGTAAGGCTTTGAATGTAGAATGTTATTCGTAGGAAAAGTTGAAAATGCAAAAATAACTGGTGAAATAGTAACATTTGGCAAATTTTATTTTCAAAAACCAGAACATGGGGGAAAAAAACTATATAAAACGTTTCAAATCAATTACTAACAAATTATATTCAGTAAAAACACGAGTGAAAATCTGTCAAACAATACATGAAAAAAACTATATAAAACTGTTTGAATCAATTACTAACAAATATATTCTGTAAAACCACGAAGTGAAAAGGTGAACAAAAATAAAGTAATTTTTGTGAAAGAACAAGTGATAAAACAACTATATACAGAAACTATTGTTCATTTGACACTTTAAAGTTCAACTGTTTAGGGAGAGATTAAGTAAGGTAGCAACCTAGCAGCGTTAGCCCGTTAACGCAATGCTAACGGGCTAACGCAACGCTGCTAGCTGTTAGCCCGTTAGCGCAATGCTAACGGGCTAAGACTGGATACGCTGCTAAGAAGCTGTTTCGTTAATGTTTAAATTAATATCAGTTGTCACGCCAATAAACAGTCTATGAACCAACTCAAAGGTGTGTTATACTTTTAAAAAGAGTTAATTTGACACTTTAAACTTCAGGTGTTTATGGATACATGAATTTACCTAGCAGTAGTCAGAGCAGAATAAATCTTGTGGGCTTGGTGTTACGCATCTGCTAATATTGATGCGTTCAAGGACACTCAGAAATGCTAAAGTT